GGGGCTTCTGGGGGGCTGGTAACCCTCCTGGGGGGCTGGGAACCCTCCTGGGGGGGTTTGTGGGGCTGGGAACCCTCCTGGGGGGCTTCTGGGGGGTTGAGAACCCTCCTATAGGGCTGGGGGGATTCTGTGGTTCTGGGGTCCCTCTCCCTCAGGGTCTCGTGGATCTCTCCCTTGGATCTGACCCCTGCTATAGGGCTGGGGTCTCTCCTGTGGGTCTGGGGTCTCTCCTGTGGATCTGGCCCTGCTGTGGGTGTGACCCCGCTGTGGCTCTGGGGTCTTTGTGGTTGGTCTGGGGTCCCTGTGGTGGGTCTGGGGTCCCTGTGGTGGGTTTGGGGTCCCTGCGGTGGGTCTGGGGTTCCTGTGGTGGGTCTGGGGTCTCTCTGGTGGGTCTGGGGTCCCCGCGGTGGGTCTGGGGTCCCTGCGGTGGCTGTGACCCACTGGTGGGTCTGTGGTCTCTCTGGTGGGTCTGGGGTCCCCGCGGTGGCTGTGACCCCCCCCGGTGGCTCTGGGGTCCCTGCGGTGGGTCTGACCCCCCTCCCGTGAGTCTGGGGTCCCCGCGGAGGCTGTGACCCCCCTGTGGTGGGTCTGGGGTCCCCCCTGCGGTGGGTCTGGGGTCCCTGCGGTGGCTCTGGGGTCCCTGTGGTGGGTCTGTGGTCTCTCTGGTGGGTCTGGGGTCCCTGCCGTGGGTCTGTGGTCTCTCTGGTGGGTCTGGGGTCCCCATGGTGTCTCTGGGGTCCCTGTGGTGGGTCTGTGGTCTCTCTGGTGGGTCTGGGGTCCCCGCGGTGTCTGTGACCCCCCGGTGGGTCTGGGGTCCCTGTGGGGGTCTGTGGTCTCTCCGGTGGGTCTGGGGTCCCTGCGGAGGCTGTGACCCCCCCCGGTGTCTGTGGGGTCCCTGTGGTGGGTCTGTGGTCTCTCCCGTGGGTCTGGGGTCCCCGCGGTGGCTGTGACCCCCGGTGGGTCTGGGGTCCCTGTGGGGGTCTGTGGTCTCTCCGGTGGGTCTGGGGTCCCTGCGGAGGCTGTGACCCCCCCCGGTGTCTGTGGGGTCCCTGTGGTGGGTCTGTGGTCTCTCTGGTGGGTCTGGGGTCCCCGCGGTGTCTGTGACCCCCCGGTGGGTCTGGGGTCCGCAGGCATCCTGGAGGTGCTGTACTGCGTGCTGATCGAGAGCCCCGAGGTGCTGAACATCATCCAGGAGAACCACATCAAGTCCATCATCTCCCTGCTCGACAAGCACGGCCGCAACCACAAGGTGCGCGGGGCTGCCGGCCCGGGTGGGCTCAGGTGGGCTCAGGTGGGCCCAGGTGTGCCCCCAGGTGGGCCCAGGTGGGCTCAGGTGTGCCCTCAACTATCCCCAGGTGGGCTCAGGTGGGCCCAGGTGGGCTCAGGTGTGCACAGGTGGGCTCAGGTGTGCTCAGGTGTGCCCCCAGGTGTGCCCTCAACTATCCCCAGGTGTGCTCAGGTGTGCCCACGTGGGCCCAGGTGTGCACAGGTGTGCCCAGGTGGTCTCAGGTGTGCACAGGTGTGCCCCCAGGTGTGCCCTCAGGTGGGCCCAGGTGGGCTCAGGTGTGCACAGGTGGGCACAGGTGGGCACAAGTGTGCCTCCAGGTGTGCCCAGGTGTGCCCAGGTGTGCTCAGGTGTGCCCCCAGGTGTGCCCTCAGCTATCCCCAGGTGGGCTCAGGTGTGCCCAGGCGTGTCCCCAGCTGTGTCCCCAGCCATGCCCAGGTGTGCCCAGGTGTGTCCCCAGGCATGCCCAGCTGTCCCCAGCCATGCCCAGGTGTTCCCAGCTGTGCCCAGCTGTCCCCAGGTGTCCCCAGGTGTGCCCAGCTGTGCCCAGCCGTGCCCAGCTGTCCCCAGGTGTGTCCCCAGCCGTGCCCAGGTGTCCCCAGCCATGCCCAGGCATGTCCCCAGCTGTCCCCAGCTGTCCCCAGGTGTCCCCAGGTGTGCCCAGCTGTGCCCAGCCGTGCCCAGCTGTCCCCAGGTGTGTCCCCAGCTGTGCCCAGCTATGCCCAGGTGTGCCCAGGTGTGTCCCCAGCTGTGTCCCCAGCCATGCCCAGGTGTGCCCAGGTGTGTCCCCAGGCATGCCCAGCTGTCCCCAGCCATGCCCAGGTGTTCCCAGCTGTGCCCAGCTGTCCCCAGGTGTCCCCAGCTGTCCCCAGCTGTGCCCAGCCGTGCCCAGCTGTCCCCAGGTGTGTCCCCAGCTGTGCCCAGGCATCTCAGGTGTGCACAGGTGTGCCCCCAGGTGTGCCCTCAGGTGGGCCCAGGTGGGCTCAGGTGTGCACAGGTGGGCTCAGGTGTGCTCAGGTGTGCCCCCAGGTGTGCCCTCAACTATCCCCAGGTGTGCTCAGGTGTGCCCACGTGGGCCCAGGTGTGCACAGGTGTGCCCAGGTGGTCTCAGGTGTGCACAGGTGTGCCCCCAGGTGTGCCCTCAGGTGGGCCCAGGTGGGCTCAGGTGTGCACAGGTGGGCTCAGGTGTGCTCAGGTGTGCCCCCAGGTGTGCCCTCAACTATCCCCAGGTGTGCTCAGGTGTGCCCACGTGGGCCCAGGTGTGCACAGGTGTGCCCAGGTGGTCTCAGGTGTGCACAGGTGTGCCCCCAGGTGTGCCCTCAGGTGGGCCCAGGTGGGCTCAGGTGTGCACAGGTGGGCTCAGGTGTGCTCAGGTGTGCCCCCAGGTGTGCCCTCAACTATCCCCAGGTGTGCTCAGGTGTGCCCACGTGGGCCCAGGTGTGCACAGGTGTGCCCAGGTGGTCTCAGGTGTGCACAGGTGTGCCCCCAGGTGTGCCCTCAGGTGGGCCCAGGTGGGCTCAGGTGTGCACAGGTGGGCTCAGGTGTGCTCAGGTGTGCCCCCAGGTGTGCCCTCAACTATCCCCAGGTGTGCTCAGGTGTGCCCACGTGGGCCCAGGTGTGCACAGGTGTGCCCAGGTGGTCTCAGGTGTGCACAGGTGTGCCCCCAGGTGTGCCCTCAGCTATCCCCAGGTGGGCTCAGGTGTGCCCAGGCGTGTCCCCAGCTGTGTCCCCAGCCATGCCCAGGTGTTCCCAGCTGTGCCCAGGTGTCCCCAGGTGTCCCCAGCTGTCCCCAGCCATGCCCAGCTGTCCCCAGGTGTCTCCAGCTGTCCCCAGGTGTGTCCCCAGCCGTGCCCAGGTGTCCCCAGCCATGCCCAGGCATGTCCCCAGCTGTCCCCAGCTGTCCCCAGGTGTCCCCAGGTGTGCCCAGCTGTGCCCAGCCGTGCCCAGCTGTCCCCAGGTGTGTCCCCAGCTGTGCCCAGCCATGCCCAGGTGTGCCCAGGTGTGTCCCCAGCTGTGTCCCCAGCCATGCCCAGGTGTGCCCAGGTGTGTCCCCAGGCATGCCCAGCTGTCCCCAGCCATGCCCAGGTGTTCCCAGCTGTGCCCAGCTGTCCCCAGGTGTCCCCAGCTGTCCCCAGCCATGCCCAGCTGTCCCCAGGTGTCCCCAGGTGTCCCCAGCTGTCCCCAGGTGTCCCCTGCTGTGCCCAGCCGTGCCCAGGTGCCCCCAGCCATGCCCAGCTGTCCCCAGGCGTGTCCCCAGCTGTGCCCAGCTGTGCCCAGCCATGCCCAGGTGTTCCCAGCTGTCCCCAGGCGTGCCCAGCTGTACCCAGGTGTCCCCAGGTGTCCCCAGCTGTCCCCAGGTGTCCCCAGGTGTTCCCAGGTGTCCCCAGCTGTCCCCAGCTGTCCCCAGGTGTGTCCCCAGCCATGCCCAGCCTTGCCCAGGTGTCCCCAGGTGTGCCCAGCCGTGCCCAGCTGTCCCCAGGTGTCCCCAGCTGTCCCCAGGTGTCCCCAGGTGTTCCCAGGTGTCCCCAGCTGTCCCCAGCTGTCCCCAGGTGTGTCCCCAGCCATGCCCAGCCTTGCCCAGGTGTCCCCAGGTGTGCCCAGCCGTGCCCAGGTGCGCTGAGGCGCGTCCCCGCAGGTGCTGGACGTGCTGTGCTCGCTGTGCGTCTGCAACGCCGTGGCCGTGCGCTCCAACCAGAACCTGATCACCGAGAACCTGCTGCCGCGCCGCGACCTGCTGCTGCAGACCGGCCTGGTCAACTACGTCACCAGGTGGGCGGGGGTCCCGGGGGTCCCGGGGGTCCCGGGGGTCCGGGGAGGGGAGTTATGGGGGGTTTGGGGAGTTTGAGAGAGTCTGGAGGTTGTTGGGGTGCACCTGGAAGCTCTTGAGGTGTATCCAGGAGAGCTTGAGAGCTTCTGGAAGCTCTTGAGATGCTCCTGGAGGCCCCTGGGTGCCTTTGGGGTGGGATTTGGGGTTCTCATGGTGGGATTTGGGGTTCTCACGTTGGGATTTGGGGTTCTCATGGTGGGATTTGGGGTTCTCACGTTGGGATTTGGGGCTCTCATGGTGGGATTTGGGGTTCTCACATTGGGATTTGGGGTTCGCATGGTGGGATTTGGGGTTCTCACGTTGGGATTTGTGTTCTTCGGGTACAGTTTGGGGTTCTCATGGTGGGATTCGGGGTTCTCATGGTCTGATTTGGGGCTCTCATGGTGGGATTCGGGTCTCTCACGGTGGGATTTGGGGCTCTCATAGTGGGATTTGGGGTTTTTGGGGGTGGGATTTGGGGTTCTCACGGTGGGATTTGGGGTTCTTGAGGTGGGATTCGGGTCTCTCACGGTGGGATTTAGGGCTCTCACGTTGGGATTTGGGGTTCATGGGGTGGGATTCGGGTCTCTCATGGTGGGATTCGGGTCTCTCACGGTGGGATTCGGGTCCCTCACGGTGGGACTCGGGGTTCCCAACGGGGTGTCCCCCTTTTCTGGCAGCGTGCGCCCCAACCTGTTTGTGGGGACGGCGCCGGGCTCGACGCAGTTCCGCTGCTGGTACTTCGAGGTGGCCGTGGAGCGGGCCCAGCCCTTCGTCACCGCCGTGCCCACCCACCTGCGCGTGGGCTGGGGGGCGGCCGGGGGCTTCCGGCCCGCCCCGGGGGGCGGCGCAGGCTGGGGGGGCAACGGCGCCGGCGACGACCTCAACTCCTTCGCCTTCGACGGCCTCCACCTGTGGACAGGTGAGGAGGGGGCACCTGGGACCACCCCGGGACCACCCTGGGACCACCATGGGATCACTCTGGGAACCCTCTGGGACCACCCTGGGACCACCCCGGGACCACCCTGGGACCACTGTGGGATCACTCTGGGAACCCTCTGGGATCACCCCGGGAACCCTCTGGGACCACCCTGGGACCACCCTGGGACCACCCTGGGAACCCTCTGGGACCACCCTGGGAACCCCCTGGGACCACCCCGGGACCACCCTGGGACCACCATGGGATCACTCTGGGAACCCTCTGGGACCACCCTGGGACCACCCTGGGAACCCTCTGGGACCACCCTGGGAACCCTCTGGGACCACCCTGGGAACCCTCTGGGACCACCCTGGGAACCCTCTGGGACCACCCTGGGAACCCTCTGGGACCTCCTGGGACCCCCCTGGAAACCCTCTGGGAACCCTCTGGGACCACCCTGGGACCACCCAGTTCCCTCCAGGACCACCCTGGGACCCACCCTGGCACCACCCTTGGACCACCCAGGGATTGCCCCGGGACCACCCTGGGACCACCCCGTGACCCCTGACCCCTGTGCCCCCCCAGGGGGTGTCCCCAAGGCCGTGGGGTCACCCCAACGCCGGGCTCTGGCCGAGGGGGACGTGGTCAGCTGCTGTCCCCCTGTCCCCCCCGTGCCCCCTGACCCCTGTGCCCCCCCAGGGGGTGTCCCCAAGGCCGTGGGGTCACCCCAACGCCGGGCTCTGGCCGAGGGGGACGTGGTCAGCTGCTGCCTGGACCTGGGGGTCCCCAGCGCCTCCTTCCGCCTCAACGGGGCCCCGGTCCAGGGGGTCCTCGAGGGCTTCAACCTCGACACCCTCTTCAGCCCCGTGGCCAGCTTCTCGGCGGGGGTCCGGTGAGGGGGGGACACCCCCGAATTGGGGGGTGGGACCCCTGAAAGGGGGCTGGGAGGAGGCTGGGACCCCTAAAGTGGGGAGTGAGATCCTTAAAGTGGGGCTGGGAGGAGGTTGGGACCCCTAAAGTGGGGGGTGGGATCCTTAAAGAAGGGGGCTGAGTAGGTTTCGGGGAGGTTGGGATGTGGGTCCCTGTGGGGTCTTTGGGGTTTCCGTGGGTCTGGGGCTCACTCGGGTTTCTATGGGGTTTCTATGGGGTCTCTCTGGGTCCGGGTCTCACTCTGGGGTCTCTGTGGGTCCGGGTCTCACTCGGGCTCCCCCTTTCCCCCCAGGCTGCGCTTCCTGCTGGGGGCGTTCTGTGGGGTTTCTATGGGGTCCCCCAGGCTGTGGTTTCTCCTGTGGGGTCTGTGGGTTTTCTGTGGGGTCTGTGGGGGGGTGGGATCCTTAAAGAAGGGGGCTGAGTAGGTTTTGGGGAGGTTGGGATGTGGGTCCCTGTGGGGTCTTTGGGTTTTCCATGGGTCTGGGGCTCACTCGGGTTTCTATGGGGTTTCTATGGGGTCTCTATGGGTCCGGGTCTCGCTCTGGGGTCTCTGTGGGTCCGGGTCTCGCTCTGGGGTCTCTCTGGGTCCGGGTCTCACTCGGGCTCCCCCTTTCCCCCCAGGCTGCGCTTCCTGCTGGGGGGTTCTGGGGGTTCTGTGGGTTTTCTGTGGGGTCTGTGGGGTCTCTGTGGGTCCGGGTCTCGCTCTGGGGTCTCTGTGGGTCCGGGTCTCACTCGGTCCCCCCCTTTCCCCCCAGCCTGCGCTTCCTGCTGGGGGGCCGGCACGGCGAGTTCCGTTTCGTGCCCCCGCCCGGCTACGCGCCCTGCGCCGAGGCGCTGCTGCCCCGGGAGCGGCTGCGGCTGGAGCCGCTCACCGCCTACCGGGGCTCGGCGCCGCCCGGAGCCCGCAGCCTCCTGGGGCCCAGCCGGGCCCTGCCCCACACCGCCTTCACCCCCTGCCCCGTGGACACCTGCCAGGTGCGCGGGGGGAAAGGGAGGGGGGATTTGGGGGCATTGGGGGGGATTGGGATAGGGTTTTGGGGGGATGGAGGTGGGAATGCGGGGGCGGAGGAACCCCAAAATCCTTCAGGAAACCCCAAAATCCTCCCCAGGAACCCCAAAAATCCCACCGGGAAACCCCAAAATCCCTTGGGGAACCCCAAAAATCCCACTGGGAAACCCCAAAATCCCCCAGAAACCCCCAAATCCCCTGGGGAACCCCCAGATCCCCTATTTGGGGTCCTTTGCAGGGGTCCCCAGATTGAGGTCCCTTTTTGGGGTTCCCTAAATTGGAGTTGTCCCTTTTTGGTCTCCCTTTTTTTTGGGGTTCCCCAAGGTTTGGGTCCTTTTTGAGGTGATCCCGTGGGGTGCTTGTGGTGGATCCTTTGGGGTTCGTTTTTGGGGGGTCCTGGCTGGGCTGGGGGGGGGTCCCAGTGGCCAGGAGGTGTTTTTGGGGTGCCCCAGGTCCGCGACGACGTGCAGCGGCTGCACCCCTGTTTGCTGAGCTTCCACAGCCTCCCCGAGCCCGAGCGCGGCTACAACCTCCAGATGTCGGGGGAGACCCTCAAGTAAGGGGGGCACCCGGCACTTTGGGGGTCCCCCCCTCTTTGGGGGACCCTCTGGGAAAAGGGGAAGTGGGTTTGGGGAGGAATCACCCCAAAACGGAGTGGGTTTGGGGTCCCCTCTGAGCCTGGGGGTGGTTTTGGGGTCACCCCTCACCTCAGATTGGGGGGGAATTTGGGGGAATTTTGGGGTCACCCCTCACCTCAGACTGGGGGGACTTGGGGGGTTTTGGGGTCACCCCTCACCTCAGACTGGGGGGACTTTGGGGTTCCCCCACTTTGGGGCGTGTCCCCAAAACAGGCTCGGTTTTGGGGTCCCCCCTCATCCTGAGCCCCCTGGAGTCGGGGGTGCTGGATTTGTGGGGAGGGGGGCTTTGAGGAGGAGTAAAAGATTTGGGGGTGCTGGTTTTTGGAGTCGGGGGTGCTGGATTTGTGGGTAGGGGGGCTTTGAGGAGGGGTCAGAGATTTGGGGGTGCTGATTTTTGGGGTGTCCCCAGGACGCTGCTGGCCCTGGGCTGCCACGTGGGGATGGCGGACGAGAAGGCTGAGGAGAACCTGAAGAAGATCAAACTGCCCAAAACGTGGGTTTGGGGGGGCTGGGGGGTCCCAGTTTGGAGGGGACTCTCTCTAGGGGATCCCAGTTTGAGGTCCCAGTTTGGGGTCCTTCAAAGGAAGTCCCAGTTTGGGGGTGTCCCAGTTTGGGGTCATCCCAGTTTGGGGTCATTCCAGTCTGGGAAGTCGCAGTTTTGGGGTCCTGGAGGAGCTTCTGGGGGGGTCCCCATGGGTTGGGGGGTCACTCAGGTGTGTCCCCCCCCCATTCCCACCATGTCCAACAGGTCAAGGTTGGGTTGGGATCTCCCAGTTGGGTTGGGATGTCCCAGTTTGGAGACCATTGAGGAGCTTTGAGCTCCCCACATTTGGGGGTAGTTCTGGGGGTCCCGGGGTGCCCTGTGGGGGTCCCACAGGTGCGCCTCCTCCCCAGGTACACCATGACCCATACACCAGGGACCTTGACCCAACAGGTCAAGGTTGGGTTGGGATGTCCCCATTGGGTTGGGATCTTCCAGTTGGGTTGGGATGTCCCAGTTCAGAGACCACTGAGGAGCTTTGGTGTCCCCATGGGTGGGGGTAGTTCTGGGGGTCCTGGGGTGCCCCGTGGGTGCCCCGTGGGGGTCCCACAGGTGTGTGCCCCCTCCCCAGGTACACCATGTCCAACGGGTCAAGGTTGGGTTGGGATGTCCCAGTTGGGTTGGGATGTCCCAGTTTGGAGACCACTGAGGAAGTTTGGTGTCCCCATGGGTGGGGGGAGTTCTGGGGGTCCCGGGGTGGTCCCACAGGTGTGTCCCCCCTCCCCAGGTACACCATGTCCAACAGGTCAAGGTTGGGTTGGGATCTCCCCGTTGGGTTGGGATCTCCCCATTGGGTTGGGATGTCCCAGTTTGGAGACCATTGAGGAGGTTTGATGGGTTCTCTGTGGGTTGGGGGTCCCGGGGTGCCCTGTGGGTGCCCCGTGGGGGTCCCACAGGTGTGTGTGCCCCCTCCCCAGGTACACCATGTCCAACGGGTACAAGCCGGCGCCGCTGGACCTGTCGCACGTGCGGCTGACGCCGGCGCAGCTGACGCTGGTCGATCGCCTGGCCGAGAACGGCCACAACGTCTGGGCCCGGGACAGGGTCCAGCAGGGCTGGACCTACAGCACCACCCAGGTGGGGACCCTGGGGACCCTCTGGGGACCCTCTGGGGACCTCACTGAGGGACCCCCGCCCACCCCTGACATCCCCAAAAACCCCTCTGTGTCCCTGTGGTGTCACGGCCCTGCGTCCCCACGGCCGTGTCCCTGAGCCCAGTGTCCCTCTGTCCCTATGCCTGGGGGGCTGTCCCCATGTCCCCGAGCCAGGTGTCCCCATGTCCCCACACCTCTGGGGGTGTCCCCATGCCCTGAGCTTGGTGTCCCCATGTCCCCACGGCCCCGAGCCAGGTGTCCCCATGTCCCCACGGCCCCGAGCCAGGTGTCCCAGTGTCCCCATGGCTGTGTCCCCATGGCTGTGTCCCCGTGTCCCCACACCCTGAGCCCACTGTCCCTCTGTCCCCATGCCCTGAACCCACTGTCCCCATGTCCCCGTGACTGTGTCCCTGTGTCCCCACATCCCTGAACCCACTGTCCCCATGTCCACATGTCTGTGTCCCTGTGTCCCCACGCCCCAAGCCCGCTGTCCCCGTGTCCCCATGGCTGTGTCCCCGTGTCCCCACGCCCCGAGCCCGCTGTCCCCATGTCCCCACGCCCTGAGCCCGCTGTCCCCATGTCCCCAGGACATCAAGAACAAGCGGAACCCGCGGCTGGTCCCCTACAACCTGCTGGACGAGGGGACAAAGGCCACCAACCGCGAGAGCCTGTGCCAGGCCGTGCGGACCCTGCTGGGCTACGGCTACAACATCGAGCCCCCCGACCAGGAGACGCGTGAGTGGGGGGCTCAGGGCCACTCTGGGGACATCTGGGGACATTTGGGAGGCTTCCAAGGGACTTTGGGGACATTTGGGAGGTTTTGAAAGGACTTTCGGGACAGCCCAGACCTGTCCCCAAGCAGGACACGTGAGTGGGGGGCTAAGGGAGGGGGGCCAGGGGCACTCTGGGGACATTTGGGGACATTTGGGGACATTTGGGAGCTGGTGGTACCATTTGGGTGCCGTTTTTGCGGTCTCTGTGTCCCGTTTTGGGGTCCTGAGCCCTCTGTCTCCCCCAGCCTCACACGGTGTCCCCTTGAGGGGTCCCGGCACCCCCCGGCCGCGGCTGTTGGTGCTGCTTGAGCATCGTTTTTGGGGTTCCATGTCCCATTTTTGGGGTTCCATGTCCCATTTTTGGGGTTCAGTGACTCATTTTTGGGGTTCCGTGTCCCGTTTTTGGGGTTCCGTGTCCCGTTTTGGGGTTCCGTGTCCCATTTTTGGGGTTCTATGTCCCATTTTTGGGGTTCAGTGACTCATTTTTGGGGTTCCGTGTCCCGTTTTTGGGGTTCAGTGTCCCATTTTTGGGGTTCCGTGTCCCGTTTTTGGGGTTCAGTGTCCCATTTTTGGGGTTCCGTGTCCCGTTTTTGGGGTTCCATGTCCCGGTTTTGGGGTTCCGTGTCCCATTTTTGGGCTCCGTGGGTGCTGTATTGGGGTTCTGTGTCCCGTTTTTGGGGTTCCATGTCCCGGTTTTGGGGTTCCGTGTCCCATTTTTGGGCTCCGTGGGTGCTGTATTGGGGTTCTGTGTCCCGTTTTTGGGGTTCCATGTCCCGGTTTTGGGGTTCCGTGTCCCATTTTTGGGCTCCGTGGGTGCTGTATTGGGGTTCTGTGTCCCGTTTTTGGGGTTCCATGTCCCGGTTTTGGGGTTCCGTGTCCCATTTTTGGGCTCCGTGGGTGCTGTATTGGGGTTCTGTGTCCCGTTTTTGGGGTTCCATGTCCCGGTTTTGGGGTTCCGTGTCCCATTTTTGGGCTCCGTGGGTGCTGTATTGGGGTTCTGTGTCCCGTTTTTGGGGTTCCATGTCCCGGTTTTGGGGTTCCGTGTCCCATTTTTGGGCTCCGTGGGTGCTGTATTGGGGTTCTGTGTCCCGTTTTTGGGGTTCCATGTCCCGGTTTTGGGGTTCCGTGTCCCATTTTTGGGCTCCGTGGGTGCTGTATTGGGGTTCTGTGTCCCGTTTTTGGGGTTCCATGTCCCGGTTTTGGGGTTCCGTGTCCCATTTTTGGGCTCCGTGGGTGCTGTATTGGGGTTCTGTGTCCCGTTTTTGGGGTTCCATGTCCCGGTTTTGGGGTTCCGTGTCCCATTTTTGGGCTCCGTGGGTGCTGTATTGGGGTTCTGTGTCCCGTTTTTGGGGTTCCATGTCCCGGTTTTGGGGTTCCGTGTCCCATTTTTGGGCTCCGTGGGTGCTGTATTGGGGTTCTGTGTCCCGTTTTTGGGGTTCCATGTCCCGGTTTTGGGGTTCCGTGTCCCATTTTTGGGCTCCGTGGGTGCTGTATTGGGGTTCTGTGTCCCGTTTTTGGGGTTCCATGTCCCGGTTTTGGGGTTCCGTGTCCCATTTTTGGGCTCCGTGGGTGCTGTATTGGGGTTCTGTGTCCCGTTTTTGGGGTTCCATGTCCCGGTTTTGGGGTTCCGTGTCCCATTTTTGGGCTCCGTGGGTGCTGTATTGGGGTTCTGTGTCCCGTTTTTGGGGTTCCATGTCCCGGTTTTGGGGTTCCGTGTCCCATTTTTGGGCTCCGTGGGTGCTGTATTGGGGTTCTGTGTCCCGTTTTTGGGGTTCCATGTCCCGGTTTTGGGGTTCCGTGTCCCATTTTTGGGCTCCGTGGGTGCTGTATTGGGGTTCTGTGTCCCGTTTTTGGGGTTCCATGTCCCGGTTTTGGGGTTCCGTGTCCCATTTTTGGGCTCCGTGGGTGCTGTATTGGGGTTCTGTGTCCCGTTTTTGGGGTTCCATGTCCCGGTTTTGGGGTTCCGTGTCCCATTTTTGGGCTCCGTGGGTGCTGTATTGGGGTTCTGTGTCCCGTTTTTGGGGTTCCATGTCCCGGTTTTGGGGTTCCGTGTCCCATTTTTGGGCTCCGTGGGTGCTGTATTGGGGTTCTGTGTCCCGTTTTTGGGGTTCCATGTACCGTTTTTGAAGTTTCATGTCCCGTTTTTGGGCTCTCTGGGTGCTGTGTTTGGGGCTCTCTGGGTGCCGTTTTTGGGATGTCAGGGTGCCGTTTTTGGGATGTCAGGGTGCTGTTTTCGGGGTGCTGACCCCCCGTCCCCCCCAGCCTCGCAGGGAGTGCCCCCGGGGGGTCCCCGCGCCCCCCGGCCGCGGCTGTTCCGCGCCGAGCGGGGCTCTCTGGGTGCCGTTTCTGGGGGTCTCTGGGTGCCGTTTTTGGGGTTCCATGTCCCATTTTTGGGGTTCAGTGACTCATTTTTGGGGTTCCGTGTCCCGTTTTTGGGGTTCCGTGTCCCGTTTTGGGGTTCCGTGTCCCATTTTTGGGGTTCTATGTCCCATTTTTGGGGTTCAGTGACCCATTTTTGGGGTTCCGTGTCCCGTTTTTGGGGTTCCGTGTCCCGTTTTGGGGTTCCGTGTCCCATTTTTGGGGTTCTATGTCCCATTTTTGGGGTTCAGTGACTCATTTTTGGGGTTCCGTGTCCCGTTTTTGGGGTTCCGTGTCCCGTTTTGGGGTTCCGTGTCCCATTTTTGGGGTTCTATGTCCCATTTTTGGGGTTCAGTGACTCATTTTTGGGGTTCCGTGTCCCGTTTTTGGGGTTCAGTGTCCCATTTTTGGGGTTCCGTGTCCCGTTTTTGGGGTTCAGTGTCCCATTTTTGGGGTTCCGTGTCCCGTTTTTGGGGTTCCATGTCCCATTTTTGGGGTTCTGTGTCCTGTTTTTGGGGTGCTGACCCCCCATTCACCCCCAGCCTCACAGGGTGTGGTTCCCAGGGGTCCTGGCACCCCCTGGCCACGGCTGTTGGTGCTGCTTGGGCATCGTTTTTGGGGTTCCGTGTCCCGTTTTTGGGGTTCCATGTCCCGGTTTTGGGGTTCCGTGTCCCATTTTTGGGCTCCGTGGGTGCTGTATTGGGGTTCTGTGTCCCGTTTTTGGGGTTCCATGTCCCGGTTTTGGGGTTCCGTGTCCCATTTTTGGGCTCCGTGGGTGCTGTATTGGGGTTCTGTGTCCCGTTTTTGGGGTTCCATGTCCCGGTTTTGGGGTTCCGTGTCCCATTTTTGGGCTCCGTGGGTGCTGTATTGGGGTTCTGTGTCCCGTTTTTGGGGTTCCATGTCCCGGTTTTGGGGTTCCGTGTCCCATTTTTGGGCTCCGTGGGTGCTGTATTGGGGTTCTGTGTCCCGTTTTTGGGGTTCCATGTCCCGGTTTTGGGGTTCCGTGTCCCATTTTTGGGCTCCGTGGGTGCTGTATTGGGGTTCTGTGTCCCGTTTTTGGGGTTCCATGTCCCGGTTTTGGGGTTCCGTGTCCCATTTTTGGGCTCCGTGGGTGCTGTATTGGGGTTCTGTGTCCCGTTTTTGGGGTTCCATGTCCCGGTTTTGGGGTTCCGTGTCCCATTTTTGGGCTCCGTGGGTGCTGTATTGGGGTTCTGTGTCCCGTTTTTGGGGTTCCATGTCCCGGTTTTGGGGTTCCGTGTCCCATTTTTGGGCTCCGTGGGTGCTGTATTGGGGTTCTGTGTCCCGTTTTTGGGGTTCCATGTCCCGGTTTTGGGGTTCCGTTGGGTGCTGTTTTTGGGATGTCAGGGTGCCGTTTTCGGGGTGCTGACCCCCCGTTCCCCTCCAGCCTCACAGGGAGTGCCCTCGGGGGGTCCCCGCGCCCCCCGCCCGCGGCTGTTCCGGGCGGAGCGGGGCTCTCTGGGTGCCGTTTTTGGGGGTCTCTGGGTGCCGTTTTTTGGGATGTCAGGGTGCCGTTTTCGGGGTGCTGACCCTCTGTCCCCCCCCAGCCTCGCAGGGAGTGCCCCCGGGGGGTCCCCGCGCCCCCCGGCCGCGGCTGTTCCGCGCCGAGCGGGGCTCTGCCGTGCGCAGCGGCCGCTGGTACTTCGAGTTCCAGGCGGTGACGGCCGGCGAGATGCGCGTGGGCTGGGCCCGGCCCCGGCTGCGCCCCGACACCGAGCTGGGCGCCGACGACATGGCCTTCGTCTTCAACGGGCACCGGGTGAGCCTGGGGACAGCCGAGGGGACACGGGGGACACGTGGGGACACACAGGGACATGGAGGGACACGTGGGGACACTGGGGACATGCAGGGATCAAGGGAGTCTCTGAAGGTCCCCAAGTGTCCCCAGATGGTGTGACAGCCGTCCCTGGGGTGTGACACCCATCCCTCGGGCAGTTCCTCATCCCTGAGTGTCCCCAAAACGAGGTGAAGTGTCCCCAAAACCGCGTCACACCCATCCCTGGGGGGTTCCCTGTATGTGAGTGTCCCCAAAATGGGGTGAAGTGTCCCCAAAATGGGGTGAAGTGTCCCCAAAACCGTGTCCCACCCATCCCTGGGGGGTTGCCTGTCCCTGAGTGTCCCCAAAGTGATGTGTAGTGTCCCCAAAACAGGGTGAAGTGTCCCAAAATGCGGTGAAATGTCCCCAAAACGTGATGAAGTACCCCCAAAACCGCGTCCCACCCATCCCTGGGGGGTTCCCTGTCCCTGAGTGTCCCCAAAGTGATGTGTAGTGTCCCCAAAACAGGGTGAAGTGTCCCAAAATAGGGTGAAGTGTCCCAAAACGAGGTGAAGTGTCCCCAAAACAGGGTGAAGTGTCCCAAAATAGGGTGAAGTGTCCCAAAACAGGGTGAAGTGTCCCAAAATAGGGTGAAGTGTCCCAAAACAGGGTGAAGTGTCCCAAAATAGGGTGAAGTGTCCCAAAACGAGGTGAAGTGTCCCCAAAACAGGGTGAAGTGTCCCAAAATAGGGTGAAGTGTCCCAAAACAGGGTGAAGTGTCCCAAAATAGGGTGAAGTGTCCCAAAACAGGGTGAAGTGTCCCAAAATAGGGTGAAGTGTCCCAAAACGAGGTGAAGTGTCCCCAAAACAGGGTGTAGTGTCCCCAAAACAGGGTGAAGTGTCCCAAAACAGGGTGAAGTGTCCCAAAATGTGGTGAAATGTCCCCAAAGTGATGTGTAGTGTCCCCAAAACAGGGTGAAGTATCCCCAAAACAGAGTGAAGTGTCCCCAAAGTGATGTCTAGTGTCCCCAAAAGAGGGTGAAGTGT